ACCAAACTCTCAGCAAATCCTCCTCCTCCTCTTCTTTCTCAAGGCGAGTGGTCGATATAGAGTTACAGCTCCCAGCACAGGCCTGGAAACTACTGCGGGAGGCGCACACGCCCCAGGATCCCCAGTCCTGGAGGATGCAAATAGCTGGGCTTCAGAGACACCCGGGACCCAGTTCCAGAAAACTGACCCCAGCTGTAAAATAATCGGGTTACTGATAGCACCTGCTTGGAGCTATGGGCCCTGGATACGGACAGACAGGCGCATTTCCACCATTTCCCGGCGGGTCTCCCTGCTTCTCTTCCTCCTCCTTCCCCTGGCCGGGGCTTGGCCTCAACGCCTGGGTGGAGAGAAACTGAACCTGCCCCATGAATTTTGGACTGAAGATAAGAACAGGGCGGGTTTGGTGACTCCTGTTCCTCCCTGCCGGGAGCCAGGACTCCCAGGTCAGGGTGTGTCCCTGAGCCAGCTGCGTGCTGCCCACCTGCCCACCCAACACTGGCATCCCTTTCCAGAAAGAACCCATGGTGGTGGTTCAGGCCTCTCAGCATAGAACCACTGAGAGGTTTGTGTTTTGTGTGTGTGTGTATGTGTGTGTAAGAAAGAGCTTTATATACAAGAGCAGTTGGATATTGAGAAAACATCCCAGCCCAGTCCAGATTAAGTCCAATAATCTGATATTAGCCCATACCAATCTATAAAATCCTCTTCAGACTCACGAAACACAGGCAATGACGTCGAATGCAGCAAGATCACAGGCCAGTAGGTGCACAGTCTTGTGGATCCAGTGGCGGTAGAAGCATCTCAGTGCCGGTAGGAGTCTCCACGTGGCTCCTCCAGCTCCTGAAGCCCCTGGACTGATCCCCTCCAACCACACAGCGATCTTCCATCCTTCTCATGATCTATGTGTGTTGCAATCTCCGCAGAAAAGTTGTTTGTTTGTTTGTTTGTTTTTATCGCCACAGTCTTCAGGGAGTTTGAAGGCACAGGCAAGAGAGAGGGACCAGGCCAGGCCCTGGCCAGGCAAGTGGTACGGGCTGGAAGCAATGGGTGGTGGGCCTGCTTCAGTTTTCTAATGGAGGTGTGGTTTGAGTTGGTTTACAGAAAGGGAGAAATTAGTGGACCAAATACTCTTCAGATTCCAGCAAACTGAACTGTACCCCACCCATGCCCCCCACCCCACCCCCGTTGGCAGTCAGGGGTGTGGGCCCTGGAGCTTCGTGCAGGCTTTCAGCCTCATGGTGCGGGTCCCTTAGGACTAGGATGTGTTTCCCCTCCGCAGTCACTGGATGGGTCTGAACTGGATGCTGATAATTGCTTGTGTAATTAGCCCTCAGCAGCACTCGGCTTGGGGAGTGTGTGTCTAGGGGGGTGTCTGAGCTTACAGTGTGCCTCTCTGCCGCTGGGAGTGTGTGGATGAGGGATGAGGGTGGTGGTGGGGGCTTTGCTGCCCTGAAGAACTGGGGACACATGAGTGGCAGGCGTGTTGCATGCACAAAGGGGTCTTTTCCGAGACAGCCCTGAAGGCGGCATTGCGTTGAAAGTTATTGTGCTTGATCCAAGCACACTAGTGTGGCGTTGTTGTTTTTAAATTAGGCTGAATAGACTCCAATTTCTCACTTGAAAAAAAATTGCTTTAGCAGTCAAGGTATAAAGAAGTCTTAGAACCAGCTCCCCCCCCCCCCCACACACACACAACAACTGGGTTCCAAGTGACAGAACCTGGGGGCAACAGAAACTCATCTGGCACAGTGGTTCCCATAGTCCCTCTGGGCTGTTACAAGTGGACCCTGCATTCTTGCTGGTCTCTTTGCCTGGATAACGAGGACCCTCCTTGCCTTAGTCCTGTCCCCAAGGCACAGCCGCTGATCACTAAATGCATCAGCACCCTAAAGAAAGTGAGCCCCGAGTGAGCGACCCCATCACCACAAGGTCCTGCTGGGAAATCCGGCAGTTCGGATGGCAGGGGTGGGAGAGGAAGTGTGCTGGGGCCCCTATGGTGAGAGTTCTGGGTACAGAGCCCATCTCTGACACTGCCTGGGTGCCCATGGCTGGCAGTTGCCCGGGCAGGTGACCTGCCTGACAGGGGTCCTGCTGAGGAATGCCTCATAATGCCTGGAAGTCCTGTGTGTTTGGGCATGGGAGCTACTTCATCATCCGGCCCCTCGTGGACAAGAACTCGGGGTGTGGGGGCGGTTCCTTTTGGAGGACGGTGCAGCAATCCTGCGGGGTGGCTCACAGGCACAGGAGGGAGGCATTGCCAGGCCCTGCGCTGCTGCTGCTGCTGCTGCCCCCCTCCCACCACAGCACCCAGGGTCCAGGTTTTCGCCGAGCCTCCATTTAAAAGCTGCATGCCACGGGCCCAGGACCCTTAATTGGCAGATTAATGCCGCATCCTCATTAAACACCAACAGTGTGCCATGCCAGGCAACTCCGCCAATTCAACAAGTCTCGCTGCTGGCCTTGTGGGAGACTCAGAGACCACCCTGCCTGGCCCTGTTCTTGGAAGACCCCGAGAAAGCTTTCTGGTGGAGAGCAGGCCACATACCCACAATCTACTGCCCTGCCAGGCTCGGCCCAGCTCAGCTCAGCTCCTCGAGTGGTTGGCCAAGGGTTGGAGGGTTTGCACATTGACGAGGAAGAAATAGCGAGAATGAGCTGGGCAGGCAGAGAAGGGTTTGCCTCTGAAATCCGGCTCGTGTAGGGGAATAGCAGGGCGGACGCTCCAGCAGAGGGGGCAGTGTGATGTGGGTTTGGGCCACCAAGGTTGCTGAAAGTTGGCCTGGACCATTTGTTAGTTTGTGACGCTGGGCAAGTATCTTAGCCTCTCGGCACCTCCGTTTCCTTGCCTGTCCTTTGTAGCTACCGATCTCATGGTCTGTGGGGTGGGTGGCTCAGGAGGGCCCAAGTGGCGCATCTGGTCCCTGGGGAACTTGTACGTCGGTTGGGACTGTCTGAAACCCAGCTGAGAGGCCAGTGCTTCTGACTTCCCATGAGCCTGGATGTGTGTCCAAGGTGGCCTTTCTCGGAGCTGCCAGAGACAGAGTCAGCCCTGCCCTGGGGAACACGGGCCTTGGAGGAGATAGATAGTCCTGCATGGCTCCGATGGCTCACTCCTTGGTGCCTGGCTCCTCGCCCACCCCCCAGCCACGGCGGTCTCCCTGCTGTCCCAAGAACCCACCAGCCTGTGCCAGGACGGCACTCGTAAGAACACCATGCAGCCCTCCCTGATTCCTGCCACCTTTGCTCAGATGTCTCCCGACTAGAAAGGTCATCCTTGCCCACCTGGCGCCGGCCGCCCTAGAGGCCGCTCTCCCCGTCGTTTGGTGGCTCTCCTTTCTGCGGATGGCCCATCTTCCCCTACACACTGAGTCTGTCCTGCGGATGGCCATCAGAATCTCTCAGCCCTTAGAGGGGGCTTGGCCCATAGGAGGTGCTTGGTGAATAAACGTGTGTTGAAGGAATGAATGAACTATCGTGAGTGTTCTGTCCAACCGAACCCTACCCCCATCCCATACCCCACCCCACCCCAAACCTGGAGAGACATCTGACCTCAGCCATGATTCTGGGGCCACCAGGGACCCAGAAGGGGACAGAGCCTGAATGGGCAGGACCAGCTGTCCCTCTCTCTGGTCCTGTGGCGCAGTCCACGCAGGAGAGTGTGATTGTTCCTTTGTGTCCTTGCGCACTGAGAGCCTTTTGGACGTGAGTGTGCCCCTCGGAGGTGCCAGAGTACAATCTGAGTGTGTTGGCACTCAGGGAAGTAGGGAGAAGGGACAAGAGGTGTGGGCTAGTCCCTGAGGCGCTGGAGACCCCTGACTGGACAAGGCTGCTGCAAAGGCCCCGGCTGCTGCCCTGGGATTCAGCCGCTGCTGTGGGTGCACTGGGAGCTCGCACAGAAGCAGTAAATTCCAGGAAACTCCCTACCAGCCCAAGGTGGGGGAGGGAGGGCGCTGGAGGGGGTGGCCGGCTAGTAGTTCCTGGGCTGGTTACTCTGCTGCTCTGCTCCCACTCGGAGAGCAGATGTGCCCGTCTGGGGGTGGGGGTGGGGGCGGAGGTGTGTGACAGCAGCAGTAGAAAGTTCCAGCCAGAGTGTGTTTGCTCACTATACTGAAGGGGGCCCACGAAGAGGCAATTGTATCTTGCTGGGGGGACAGGGGACAGGGGAGGGGCAGGGCCTGGGCTCTGGGGTGTGGGGCTGCAGGGTCATCTCTCTGGCTCTTTCCAGACAAGGTCCCAAGCCGGGCCAGCAGGAGGTGGGGTCCCTTCCTGCTGGAGGGCCGGACCCAAGGGGCCCCGCCCCAGGGGTTCCCGGATGACTGGCCCAGGGCAGCAGCAGGCGTGGTCCTCCCCAGCAGGCTGCCCTGCCTGCCTGCTGCTCAAGAGCCCACCATGCCCGCCCCCCCCAGTTGAACCCCCTTCGCAGTCTGCTCTGAACTCACGCCCGCCCCACCCCTTTCCCCAGAGCCTAGCTTTGAAGGCCAGCAACGGTTAGGAAGGAGGAAGACAGAATTGTCCTCGGGGCTGGCCAGCTGCCTGCCTGCCTGCCTGCCTGCCTGCCGGGGGAGTGGGAGAAAGGAATGCTGTGCATGCTCCCCCGGAGTTGGGGCGCCAGGCCCCTCCGAGGCCCTTGGTCTTGGTCGGGTGGCCTCCCGGGGCCCAGCACATCCTGCTGCCCACTCTGGGCTCCATCCACGGGAAGGGGGCTGCGGTCCTTGTTTACAGCCCTCCCTTCCACCCCAGCGCTGGCTCACGGGGTGAGAGCCAGGCCCAGCCACCCGCCCCACAGGATACACGGTCCACCTAATTGTCTTCAATTACGGGCGGTACCCAGGCTTCTGACAGGAACCAGACTCAAGCCGCTTCCACAGGGTGGCGTGGGGTGGGTTGGGACACCGGGGCAGCACTATCCTGCCCTCCTTGTAGGTCTGGGGCCCCTCGGGGCACACAGCCAATGCCCAGTCCCTACTAAACAAACGGCCACCTTCTTCGTCCCTGCTCAGGATGAGACTTCGGTGAGCAGCGAAGATTTTGATATGAATGACTCCTCATGGATGTCAGCTGACCCACGCCTGGCCTCCAGCCTGAGTCCCAGCCAGGACCCCAGGATGAGGAGCCCCCAGAACCTCCACAGCCAAGAGGATGGTGAGTGCCTTGGGGGACAGGGGGTGGGGGTAGTGGTGGTGGTGGCAAGGCCCCCGCCCCTGGAAGGCCGCCCTATGGGGCTGTGGGGCCTCCCTGTGCACCCTGATGCCCGAGAAGTTGTGGGGTTGGGATTTCCAAGTGACTGGGGTGCAGGTCAGAGAAGGGTCAGCTGGTGTCACCAGGGTGTGCTGGCTGCCCAGTGCTGAGAGCCATGGGCCACAGGGCCAGATCCTGCCTGTCCCCTGGAAAGGGACCAGCACATACAGTTGTCCACTCATGTGCCTCGGGAGGAGGGAGACGTGGCCCTGCTGCGGGCGCTACCCCAGCTTCAGCCCCCCAGGACCCTGAACGCAGGTTGGGGTCCTGGGGCAGCCAGCAGCCTCCACCGGCCTGTCGACCAGAGCTTCCCTCCAGGGGTGGGCAAGGTGCCTGGGGCAGAAGGCAGGTCCCAGGCCCCAGAGGACCCGACCCTCCGCGCTCCCCAGTGGGGCACCCGGGCTGGGCCTTGGGCTCCGGCACCCACCTGAGTTTGCTGTGGTTGTCGGGTGGGGTGGCACCTGTTGTCAGAGTGCCCTGGTGGGGCACTGGTTTCCGGGGAAAGGTGACTGGGGGGTGGCGGCAGCAGCAGAGGCAGCCGGTGAGCTGGAGCCAGGCCTGGAAGAACTGGGGTGTAGAGCCGGCAATTAGGAGAGGTCGAAGGTCGGTGCCTGGAATGCACGCCTGTGGCACAGGGTTAAAAGGGGGTGTCGTGTGTTAACTCTGAAAAAACAAAACAAAACAAAAAAAAAACGGGCTAGCCTTAAAGAGTAAATACGGGGTGGGGTCAAAGTTCGTCTCCATGGCAGAAACCTCCCAACTGCCCTCTCAAGCCTGAATCTGGCTTTGTCTGGGAGGAGACCCAGCCCGCCCCGGGGGCGGCTGGGGGTGGTGGCCGGGGCTCCCCGGGAG